CATTGCATAGAATCGTTTAGTGTGTGACAACGTCACAATAACTACTGCGACGTAAACAGTTATGGCGGTGCCGATTTGCTATGCTCGTTGTGTGCGCACGTGCTGCTGGACAACTGTGCACACTGCGAATCCACACTCTCCTCGCCTGTGATTTGTGAACAGTGGGAGAGAGTCTCGTGTGCACTCTTGTGGTATCCTTTAAACTCACTCACGTGCACAGCGTGTAATGAGGCACCCTTACTGGCGCCAAGGAATGCGGCTGAGGAGACGTTGAACTCCAAACTTGCCCCACAATGGCACAGTGTGGGAAGCATCTTGCATCCACTCTACTCCCCCAACAGAGCATCACACGTGCAAACACATCGCTGCTGCAAATCTTTAACTCCACACTGTTCCCTCCTTTTCGATACTTGTAACAAGGCCGTAACTGGATCTGTTTTAATTCCATCCTCGGATAAGCAAATCAGATCGATGGTCGTTTTACTAACAAAACTTTTTCTCCCTTCCCCACTGCAAACCGTTCATTCTACCTCAACCATTGACACTGGTGGACGAGGAAGACTGGCAATCGTACGAGGAATGCTTTGTTTTCAACCAATGATCATATAATTCCATTTTGGCCTCATTGGCTTCCCATTGCCACAATAAGCAGTGGCTAGTTACTCGCAATTCCGAATGGCATGCAAGTGAGAGTCACTACCTTCAACATCGCCTGTCCACTACTTTTGAAGCACAAATATTGTGAAGGGTAGAGAAGGGTGCGCAGTAAAGGGGAAGGAGAATAAGCAAGAGGTGGAGTTTTGCTTCCCCTAGTAGTCGCTCATGAAAGCAGAGCACACTGTTCGCTGTGTGTCCATCATCAGTTCTGTTTAAGGTCAGGCAAGGTTGCCATACCCCTCCATTATGCAAATGTTTGGAAGAAAGGGGAAGCGTCTCTCCGCTTCTTCGATATCCACTCCTATCCCAGATTTAACACACCTCTGCCAATCCACCACCTTTCAATCCGGAGGCATGTACAGCTGCCAAAGTATAACGTGTAGAGTATAAAGAGAACTACTGACCAAAATATAAATCCAGTCACACGTCGCACAATTTTGAGCTCTACAAACAGAATGAATATCCAAATAAAAGCATGAGAAGGAAATCGGACGGCGTTAAGAAAATCAACCACCATTTGCAGGTAATCAAACACTGCCAACAATGGAAGAAAGGAAACAAGGAGTCAGTTACAAGGAAGGATGGCAACATTTGTGGCAATGTGAATGCAA